TCGTTTGATAATGAAGTTGGTTCGATTAATGCTTTCTTTAATAATGTACTTTATTTTAAAGCATTACCTTGTGATGGTGTGTATGAAGCTGTATCTATTGTAGATAACTTAGGAAATAATGTTTTGTGTATTGATTCTAATAATAATAACTTGGATAAAGCATCATTATGGCATTGTCGTCTTGGACATATAAGCAAGAAACGCATAGGCCAACTCCAAAAGGATGGAGTCTTGGAGTCGTTTGACCTAAAGTCAAATGATAGTTGCGAATCATGCTTACTTGGAAAAATGACAAAGTCACCCTTCACAGGCTCATGTGAAAGGGGTGAAGGTTTGTTGGACCTTATACACACGGATGTGTGTGGACCATTCAAACATGCCACAAGAGATGCTAATCGTTATTATTTGACTTTTACCGATGATTACAGTAGATATGGATATGTCTACTTAATCAAGCATAAGTCAGAGACTTTCGAGAAGTTTAAGGAATTTAAACAGGAAGTCGAGAATCAATTGGGCAGGAACATTAAGATGCTTCGATCCGATCGAGGTGGTGAGTATCTTAGTTCAGAGTTCCTCGACTATCTAAAGGAATGTGGGATTGTCTCACAATTGACACCTCCCAGGACACCGCAGTTGAATGGTGTGGCTGAGAGGCGTAATCGAACCTTGTTGGACATGGTTCGTTCCATGATGAGTCGAGCTTCGCTACCAATCTCATTCTGGGGGTATGCCTTAGAGACTGCCGCCCATATCCTTAATCTAGTCCCTACAAAGAAAGTTGCCAAAACTCCTCACGAGATGTGGACTGGTAAAGTACCTAAACTAGACCACATCAAGATTTGGGGTGCGAGGCTTTCGTGAGACGCGAGACTCATGATAAGCTCGAACCCCGAAGCGAGAGGTGTATTTTCATCGGCTACCCACAGCAATCCTTTGGTTACCTCTTCTACAGACCTAGTGACAATGTGGTCTTTGTAGCAAGAAGAGGAGTCTTTCGAGAAAGAGAGTTTATAAGCCAAGGAGACAGTGGGAGGCAAGTTGATCTTGAAGAAATTCAAGAGTCAAGTGGTGAAGGAACTTCAAACTCTAGCCCTCAACTTGAGGAGGAAACTCCTGTTGAGCCAATTGACGAATCTGTACCTCTGAGGCGTTCCACGAGAGTTAGGAGTGCACCTGAGCATTACTATGGATTCCATATTACTGCAGAAGGTGAGACACTTATTAGTGATGAGACACTAGTAAGTCAAGATGACCCTAACAGCTACGAGGAAGCCATGGCGGCCCCGAGTCTGCCAAATGGAAAGAGGCTATGGATAGCGAGATACAATCCATGTATGACAATCAAGTTTGGAACTTGGTTGAGAATGTACCAGGTCGAAAGACTGTAGGGTGCAAATGGGTCTTCAAGAAGAAGACCGACATGGATGGTAAAGTACACACTTATAAGGCTAGACTGGTTGCAAAGGGCTTCTCTCAAATTCCTGGAGTGGACTATGATGAGACCTTTTCTCCGGTAGCCAAGATTAAGTCTATTCGGGTTCTGTTAGCCATAGCCGCATTTCATGACTATGAAATTTGGCAAATGGATGTCAAAACCGCTTTCCTTAATGGAAAGTTGGCTGAAGATGTTTACATGAGTCAGCCAGAGGGTTTTGTCAGTAACGAGTACCCTAATAGAGTGTGTAAGCTTGAGAAATCCATTTATGGATTAAAGCAAGCACCTCGCAGATGGAATCTTTGCTTTGATGAAAAGGTCAAGGAATTTGGCTTTTCTAGGAGTGAAGATGAATCTTGTGTATATGTCAAGGCTAGTGGGAGTATAGTTAGCTTTTTGGTATTGTATGTGGATGACATACTACTCATAGGAAACGACATTCCAACCTTGCAGGAAGTAAAGTCCTGGCTTGGAAAGTGTTTCGCTATGAAGGACCTTGGTGAAGCTGCCTATATTTTGGGGATAAGGATCTTGAGAGATCGGAGTAAAAGACTAATTGGACTTAGTCAAAGTACCTACTTGGAGAAGGTTCTGAAGAGATTCAGAATGCAAGACTCCAAGAAAGGAGAGTTGCCCATCCAGAGTAGCGCCAAGCTGAGTAAGACACAAAGCCCTAGCACTGAGGCTGAGATAGCAGAAATGAGTCGATACCTTATGCTTCGGCTGTAGGTTCGATCATGTATGCTATGACGTGTACTCGACCTGATGTAGCCTTTGCCTTGAGCATGGTTAGCAGGTTTCAGGGGAACCCTGGCAAGGCACACTGGATTGCGGTAAAGAATATTCTCAAGTACCTACGAAGGACTAAGGACTGGGTCCTTACCCTCGGTGGGAGTGATGACTTGAGAGTTGTAGGGTATAGTGATGCTAGCTTCCAGACTGATAGGGATAACTTCCGCTCTCAGTCGGGCTGGGTCTTTACCCTAAATGGAGGAGCAATTTCTTGGAAGAGTTCCAAGCAAGAGACAGTGGCAGATTCTACTTGTGAATCAGAGTATATTGCAGCTAGCGAAGCGGCAAAGGAGGCGTTATGGCTGAGGAACTTCATTGGAGACCTTGGAGTTGTACCAGCTATTAAAGAGCCGATGGAAATTTTCTGTGATAGTGAAAGTGCTGTTGCCTTAGCCAAGGAACCAAGGGATCACGGGAGATCCAGACACATCGACAGAAAATACCATTTCATCAGACATCGGATCGAAGAAGGACTCCTCGTGGCAAAGAGGGTATCATCGATGAGAATCCGCAGATCCCCTCACGAAGGGACTGACTCGGGTTAAGCATCTCCAGCATGCTCGGAGCATAGGGCTGAAGGATGATATTAGATTTAGTAGTTAGATAATCTCGAAATTTGTAAAGTGTAATTGACATTTGATGATGAATAAAAGTGTTTTATTTATGAGTAAAGTGTTGCTATCTCTTGTCGATCGTTTACTATATTTCTTTTGCATGTTTTGACTTCCAGAATAATTTTGTTTGGTATAACATATTATTCAAACCTCCACAGTCGGTCATATGTCGGAAGTAGGTATGAATCAAGACTGTCATGTTTGGTTGTAGAGGTCTGGGACAAGGCTACAACAATCATGAGTGCTCATAAGTTCTGAGCATTGGACTCAACCCACGCTCACTGGAATCACTTCATGGAATTCTATCTCGAGTGATCGTGAGACGGTAATATCATATAAGTCTTTAAACCTAGAGATATGATTTGTTACTTACAAGTTGGTTATGCATTGATTGTACGAAAAACGCATTGGTAACTCGATGTTATAAAATCGTGCTCTTGTGTGTAATTCAATGAGTAGTAGAACAAACATATGAGTCGAAGTTTATCTGTTCCTTCTTGGATTAGAAGCTGATATCTGGGCCCCTCGATGATTTTGTTTTGACCTATGTACCGGGCCCGGTCAGAACTAAATTGATGTGTTCAATAAAGTTCTTTGTCAAACAAATCGGAAATCGGGAAACAAATGTTGGACAATAAGTAAGACATTGTTCCATGTATTTGTCCGACTGATATCTAGAACAGAGGATTATATGATCACTTATCTTAAATGGCGTACCATCATCTTCTCAAGTTTCGAGAAACCTTGTAAAGAGCTACGATTGCCGATCGGTTCCTGAAGTCATACTTGCAGTAATAGTTACTAGACTTATCCAAGTGGGAGACTGTTGGATAAGGTGTCTAAGTCCATAACTATTTCTGGTATGTACTTGACCCGACCCGGCATGGTCCATTTGGGTTGCATGGCACCATGCAATTGGATAGACTAAATGAGAGAAATAACGCTTGGAGATTATTAATATATTATAAGTTCTAATATATTAATAATATTATTTGATTAGTTTGATCAAGAATTAATTTAGAATTAATTAAGTGATCAAAAGATAACTAATTAAATATATGGGTTGATTAAGTAAATCATCCATATCTTGTATAGTGGGCTAAAAGGCTCCATGGATCATCAAGTTGGGTTCCACCCATAGGATGCTCCATGGGAGTTACAAACCCATGGGTCATGGAAATGAAGAGTCATGACACATTAGGGTTTAACCCTAGGTGTGTCAACACTATATAAGCAATATGATCTCCTCCCAAATCGGTTACACACTAAGAAATAGAGGGCTTGGCCGATTTTGTGAAGTGAGTATTCTCTCATAAGTTCTTCCAAGAGCATTTGGTGTTGTGTGAAGCATTTGAGGCATCACACTTGGGGTGCTAGGCTCACAAGGTTTCAAGGAACACAAGCAACAACAAGGTAAGTTATTCTATCTATACTTTATGTTAAAATTGTTCCCCATGTATGCTAGATAGGAATATAACCTTGGAATACAACTTTGCATGACAAATTAGACAAACATAGATCCAAGGTTATTAGGGTTGCATGTACACTTAGGAAGTGTTAGAATGCTCAAAACCCATCAAGATAAAGGAGCACAAACAAGGGTTGTTTGAAAATGAACAGATAAGCTAACACACTACTTATTTTCTGCCTACTTGCAATGCAACTACTCCTGAGAAAGACTCAAACTGAACTAGTTGAAGCTAAGGGCCTGCCTTCCCAGCTACTGAGGTAAGGGGCAAAGGATCCACTTGATTCATCACTTTTTTCATAACCATTAGATAGAGAGAATCCCACCCGGCCTAGTTATAGCTATCGTAATGCGTCTCGATGCCAAAGCTTCCTGAACCAACTGAAGCAAGGAATATGAGTAGAAGAGCGCTAGCATCCCTTGCTCTCTATCGATTGCTCACCGCCGTCTCATCCAAAGGAATAGAACTGGAGGGCGAACTTCCCATCTGTAAACACTAGTTACATTGCAGAAACTGGAGGGCGAACTTCCCATCTGTCGTCGAACAGTAAAGTTCCACTCTCTCTAACGGATGAGTAGGAAATCTCGGCACTAAACTCATTGCAGAAAGAGACAGGCAACACGACGGATTTTTAAGGTGAGTCTTCAGCTGGGGGAACAATGATTCTTTCCCCTAAAGGGTAAGAGAATGGGGTGGGGTCTCCTCTACTCGCTTTCCGACACTCCATTCGATAGCTGCCTAAGAGCTTATTCGACAACAGTAAGACGACTGACTGATATGAGATTGAGCGAGGAAATGCCAAAGCCAAGGCTCACTCTCTCTCCTGCGCTAGTTAATCATATGCCATCCTTAGAGTGCAGCAGGGACACCTTTAAAAAAGAGTGAGCCATCCCTTTAAGAAGGGCCTTATCGCAAAAAGTCACTTTGAAAGGTCACTCTCATGAAAAGAAAAACTTCCTCTCTGTCGAGGATTTTCCTCACTAAGCTTTCAGGAAAGTCAGGACAAGGACTCTAATTGTAACAGAGACAACCCCGTCTTCTCTTAGCTATATGCTAAACACTAGTCTTTGCCTTTCATCGCTGCGTTCCGGTTAGTTCAGGCCGGTCGATAAAATCCTACGAGTGACTGACCATCACTGACGACTCGTGAGCTCGTAGGGCTCATAGGATGGGATCAAAGAGGAAAGCCCTTCTCTTCATTTCATTGACGGGTTAGAGAAATTTTCACGACGTAAGTCAGTGGAAGCAAACGGGCAATCGGCTGCCTAAAGGACCCCGTGGTTGAAGGCTAAATTCATTCTTCGATATATCTCACTCCGCTATGCTAGAAGACTGAGCAGCTTCAGTTGATTACCAACCTCGAGTTCAAAAACTATTGGGTAAAGCCTAAACCTTACTCCTTTCCTTCTATCGGAACTGGCAACAGATCTCTAGATCCGATGCAACTAGAAGTCAGTCGATTCCGTCTGAGAATGGTTTCAGTCCAAACCTTTTTTGTCAAGTGAAACTCCGCTTCTTAAGAGCTTCTTTGGGCAGACTCACTCCCTTACTCGCTGGGTTGGCGTATCCAAGGTAGCGCCAGCAGCAAGCGTAGGGGTTACTACGTAAGTGCGTTCGTTAGCGCGTTACGTTTTCTCGCTTGCTAGACACGAAAACTAAGGATAGACGCGCTGGGATAGCAAGCAAGTTTGTTGAAAGAGGGGCAGTAGATTCTAGATCTGCTGAAAACCAGGTTATAGGGCTATATATTTCTTCCATGGTAGGGCTAGGGGCAGGGTGGTTGTAAATCACTCCTTTTACTTTCCCTCCTACAATTACAATGGGAAGGGACGAGACAGCCTTCTTTCTTCTAAACTAAATAAAATAGGATTCTGCTTTCACTGTTCTCAAGGTATCTCCTGACTCGAAGATTAGGGCTTCTTCCCGCATCCGAAACTGGAGAATCAACCCTCGAGAGACGACTAAACTATACGCGGCAGGTTGGTCTAAAAGGGAAAGAAAAAAGGTGACATACATTCCATTCGGGGACATAATAGTGATGACTATCGAGCACACTCTGTTATATCGATCCCAATCAATGGTTTTTTTGGGGAAGCCGATGTTTGCTTTCCCCTATGCTTTATGACATCTTTTCTCTTCTCCGTAGTGATCAGTGTATGCACGTAGCATCACAGTCAATCTTTCATGCGGCCGCGCTCTTCTTCTAACTGCAGGAGTGCTGCGCCCTATCTTACTCTTTTTGTTGCTAATGAATAGCCTTTTTCTTGGTGATTAATAGCCAAGGGAATAAAAGAAAGACCTATGACTCGTTGTCTAAATCATAACTTCAAACAGAACCCCACTGTAGAGAGGGAGACCCCCGAAAGCGTAAGAACGACTATTTTGGAGCCTGAGGGTGAGGTTCCATCGACGAGTGAGAAAAGGAACGAGAGACCTACGGCTATGTGAGGATCAGGACGCGGCGTACGGTTGGCAATGGCAAGTCAGTCACATAGGCTTTTGTAAGCCCACGCGTCAGTACTAGACTGATTATGCCATCGATTCAAAGGAAGGACGGGAAAGCACAGGGCAGGAAACAATTAGAAAACCTATAACCCTTGAGTGAGTTCGCAGTCAATCTTGCTTTCGATTCAACAATACGAACCGAAGAAAACAATTAGGATGAAAAGATTCTTTGGCAAAGGAGTTTTTCCCTCTGCTCTTCCTTTGGTTATATACCAAATCACCTACCTGTATCAGTTGATTCTCCTTCTTCCTTTCTTATTTGAGGATTCAGCCCTGGTTGATAGTTTGTTTCAGTTTCAGGGAGGTTTGTAAATAAACCTTCTGTCGTGTATTCCATGAGTGCAGTTCGATCTTGTGGTGTATTCCTTTGTAGTGAGTAGGGCCTCTTTCTCGTTGATCAGTTCGCCTCCGCTCTATTGAAAGGTCTCCATTCCTACGGCAGTTTTGTCAATGAACCCGTGGATAAGTAGGCCTTTCTTGCAGACCGATCTTCTGCCGAGTTCCTTCCTTCGTAGTCAAATCTGATGATACGCTTTGGCGATGTTACCTACCAAAGAAAAGGCCTGCTAGGTGATCTAAATCGCTCAGGTCAGCGAGGACTCACTCACCTACTCCTTATCTAATACTTTCTTCTATCTACTGAATTAAAAAGGCGACCCGCCGCGCCGGGCTATAAGATAAGAGACAGCTGTTGTACTACTTGACTGGTAAGAAAGAGCTTCCGTAAGAACTGGAAGACTCTTGTATGTACGGTAACCCTATTTTCCGCTACTGGTGGACTGTTGCACATAAAGGCCGACAGAAGCAACCTTTCTTAGCGCGCTTTTCAAGCGCTTAGCTTCTGCTATAAAAAGGCGGCAAGGCCATAAAGTAAGTGAAGTTGCAAGCCTACGCCAAGAAGGTACGAACGAAGTGACGGGCCCTTTTAGAGAGAGGGGGCGGCTTTCTTGTGGTAGTCATTGCGAACATCTCTCCTCTTCTCTTAGCGTGCACAGTTTGCTTACGCCTTAGGCACATCTATCTTTCTTAGTTTCACGCTGGCCTAATGAATTGAATATGAATAAAAGTCAGTCTTTTAGTAAGCGTATATAAGCAGCTGTTTAGTGTATAAGCAATTCTTTAGTGGTCGCACCGGTACGATGGAGGTTGGTTGAAGATGATGTTACGCGGCGTTCAGAACCAGTCTTGAAGTGAATGAATTAGAAAGAACGAAGAAGTAAGGAAATGAGACGACTCTTTCTTGAACTATATTATAAACAGACCTTCCCCTCCACACCAATCACGAGTTTTTCTCCATTCCTCTCATATATCGTCGTAACGCCCTTAATGCTAGGTTTTGAAAAAGACTTTTCATGTCATTCCCATTTAGGTCCGATTCGGATCCCTCCGTTGTTTCCTTTTCCTTCCGCACCTTTTCCTCGAAATGAGAAAGAAGATGGTACACTTGAATTGTATTATTTAAGTGCTTATTGCTTGCCAAAAATCCTACTTCTACAATTGGTAGGTCACCGGGTTATTCAAATAAGTCGTGTTTTCCGTGGTTTTCCCATGTTACAACTTCCGTACCAATTCGGTCGATCCGGAATGGATCAGTTAAACATTCCATTAGGGAGCCTGGTCTTGACTTTTCTGTGTGGTATTCATTCTCGTTCGGCTCTTGGAATCACATCCAGCAGTGGTGGGAACAGCTCGCAAAATCCAACCACTTCACCTACTTCATTGCCCCCAACCCTTTCTCGTACCTCTATTGAAACATAATGGTTTCATGTTCTTTCATCGATTGGTTATTCCTTTCCGTTCGTATCTCTTTCTCCAATTTCGGTCTCGATTAGTTCACAAGATTGAATGGCCAATTCTCCTCCGGACCCTCGATTCGATTGTTTTCCAAGAATGTTGAGCCGGGTATGTAAGCCATGTATCTGGGAGGAACTTAAAAGAAGGGCTTTCAGTTTTTTTCACCCCGTTTTGTGGTCTTGCAGCTATTTAAATAAATAAGAATATAAAATTATATATATATATATATATATATATATATATATATATATATATAATAAGACTTTTTTAGAAGAAAGATTCTATATATGTCCAATCCCCAGTGGTGGTGGGACCAACCAAGATGTATGTCGTCCAACCCAACCTCAGACTTTTTCTTCCCGACCTATTTGACTCTCTGGCCGCAGTTATAGTTATTTAGGTGGTATCCCGAGATTGAAGAGATCGAATTCCTCCGGGGAACACACGAAACAAAGATATGAACTGGGTAAATAGAAATGGAAAAGAGATGTTTCCAATTCATCAAAATGAGAAGCTTTTTCTACATCCATATGATCTACTAAAGTAGATCGGTATTGCCCATATAATAAAAGCAGATCTTGGTCCATGGAATCCCAAGAAGGTAAGAACTCCAACCTGTCCGATGCTTCTTCGGCCAAATACGATATAGAAGTGGGACCTGCACTATGCGCAAGCTGTGCGAAAAACCGCTTCTTTTTTCCGGTTCTGAAACAACTTGGGCGAAATAGGGTTCTACCCGGAAACCATGGATTTTTTAGTTTTCGCCATTGGTTACTGGTTGAGCCACTGGAATGGAATGAGATAAGAATCTCTGGAGATCTTTCCTCTCCACTTACTCGTAACAGGCTTTCCCTCTGTAGAAGACTTCTTCCGAATGGCCTAACATTAAGGGCGTTACGACGATATATGAGAGGAATGGAGAAAAACTCGTGATTGGTGCGGAGGGGAAGGTCTGTTTATAATATAGTTCAAGAAAGAGTCGTCTCATTTCCTTATGCAACTACTGTGCTAGAAAAATGGCAGGAGACCACATACCAAGAAAGAGGTATTACGCAAAAGGGGCAGGCTATATTAGCTAATGTCTCTCAGCAGGATGCCCCACACGGAACCAATCGAAGGAGATGAGAAGGTATCGTAGATTGGGGTAGCAGTAGCTGGTCGTAGTTACTTTATATAAAAAATGGATTGAAGCATCATGAAATAATTAAATTCTAATAATGAAATAGAAGAAGAACGAATAAAGATCGGATTTGCTAAATGAAGGTGTAGAAGTGGCTGTAGTCAAACAATAGTAAGGAGAATTCGCTTAGTCTTCCGGTTCAGAAGTCTATTTAGTTTCACAAAATGCTTATTAATGAGATGAGTTGCTAAACACAGTCAAGTCGTAAGACAAAGAAAAGCGTAGGTAACAATTCATCTACCGAATAGCAAGCAATCGCGTAAAGCAAGACATGAGATATTTATAATGAATAAGGAAGTCTTCCCGTCTGCAAGACCCAGCTAAAGCCATCTTCCCTGGGGACTACGAAAACCTTCCATTTTGTGGTTTTGATCCTCTTTGCCATTCTTTCGTTTTTATGGTTAGCCATCGGTCGTAGAAAGAGTCTTTTTTCGACAGGTGACTCTACCTCTGCTGGGGTCAACCATCAAGGTGATACCTACAGGCTTGTATGTGGGTGTAAAACTAGAATCCTCGGGGCTTGACTTTTTACAGGTTCTGCATGGAAACGATCGGGCTTAAATATTGATGCAATGTAGCCAGAACATCTAGTGCAGTGACTTGGTGTTTACTACCTTAAGGCATGCCTTGACTCCACTCGATGGGACTTGCTTTCATAAAGATTTTTGCTTATTGACTTTATTGACTCGCCTTTACTTTAGGGTATATCTTGTTTGTATAAGTAAAAGAGGATAAGACCACCGTTTGCCACATTTGCTGATGAAACAAGATAAAGAACGGGTTCTCCCTACTTGCATTGAGCGGGATGCTGCTTTCTTCTCTGTTTTCGAGATCAATTGACTTCCATTGACCTAGATGGGAGTTGTCTTCTTCGATAGCGGGTTCTACATCCGGCATCCCTCTTGATTTCCGGGAGAATGTAGCCGATTTACTTAGTAAGCTGGGACCTGTCCAATTGCTAGTTTGGCTGGATTTGTTCATTTCGAAATGCTAGGTTGACATAGAAGAATCCGAAAGGAGATGCATTGAAGAAATGTCAGGGCTGTCCCGCTAGTTGGATAGGCGACTTCTCAATCTTGGAAGAGCATCTTGCAAGGGTTAGAGGTTTTGAAGGATGAGTTGGTATGGAAGATAGAAAGCCACGTTTGTACTCGTGACTTAGTGGATCGAAACAACCAGTAGAGATTTCGGATCTTATTATACGTGACCCCGAGCCCCGATTCTGATCTTCTTTTCTGGTAACTGCCGCTTCGATCAAGCGTTAAACTACTACTTATGGCTTCGGTCGAGAAAGGTATGGGCTATGGGTCGGTAGGATAATGCTAGGTCAATTCGGTCCACTGTCTCTACTCCCACCTATCCCGCTTAAGGTTATATGGATGAAGCTTGCTTTGGGTCCACCACCTGGAAGAGTATTGAGTGTATCGGGCGCATCTACGTTTGTGATCTCGTATATTTTGCTTCTCCAACATCTTACTGACTTTCCCCCTCATCTTTTTGAAAAAAGCCGCTCCACGGTGGTAAAGTCTCATCTTGTGTGTTGGCCGAAGTTACAATAGTGACATTGAACCCTCGAATATGTTCAAAGATCTCGAAATGATCTTCCAGTTCCGGGGAGAATTCGCAAAACTCCATTTCCATCAAGAATTGAATGGACTTTTCCCGTATTTCGACCGGAAAATCTAACAGAGACATTACTGCGGAGATTCTTACCAAAAAATGAGACATTCCATGCCCTCGGAGAGTGATTCCCTTCACCAAGTCATCACCAGCAATCCGCTCTTATCCCTTGGTGCCAAAGGGTGAGTTCCTTTCTTGTCTTGCCCAAAAACTTTCTTTATTCTCATTGGAGAAAGACTCTCCCTCTACTTTCTTTGACAGGGGCGGAGAATACCACTCTATCAATAACAAGAAAAAAGTAGCAATTCCGTTTCAAATGGTTTGAGCTTGGAAGCAACCTGCTATCTATCGATAGGCGAGAACAGACTGCTATTGGCTGCTTCGCCTATCGATTCCATTATGGCCGGCTTGGATACATCAGAGGAAGACTATCATCTCTATCCGGGTACGATCATAGCATAGCTTCATTCATTCGTTGAACCTTGGGGATAACCATTAGCATTGAGGTAAATCACCACACCACCTCTATCATACATACGACATTACACGACGCGAGAGTGCATGGCCAACACACACCTAAAGCGCCTACGTTCCGCTTGCAGCCAATACAACCACAAGCTAACTTGCACGAGATTCAACAACCGAAGCTACTGGTAGTCCCGAGGGGACGGAATCCTACAATAAGAGTTAGCAGTACTGAACAAGCGAGTCATCGGTCTGGGGAAAGAAAAGGACTGCCTTTGAAAAAAGAAAAAAGGAACTCGCTTAACTCGCTAGGCCTTCGGAACAAAGGCGATTCTGTTCATGCTTCAGACGATTTGGCTAATTATATAGACTTCTATACTAATTATATTAGACTTCTTCTATTATAAATAGAAAGGCGAACCTATAGGCCTGTTTAGCGCCTTTCCAAAGTAAACCTAAAAAAAACCTTTGCTTTGGGAAGTCAGGACCGAGTGAAAAATGAAAAACGTCCGCTAACGCCCACGGGAGAAGATCTTTTTTAAATCAGCAACGAATGTCTTGTATCTATGAAGAAAGATTTATCCCTGGGTTAAGACCCTGAATGCCATACCTTGCTGAAGGCGATTCACGAGAGAATCGCGCACAGTTCCCTTTGACCGAGATGTGAATGCCCATGATTTGCTCGGTATAGTGATGGATTTCATGGCCGACGTCTAACCGGCACGAATACGCTATCCTAGATGGAAACGACTTCCCCGCGGAGCATTTTCTCTTTCATCCTCGGACGTTCGGACCTTTTGTTTGATTCCGGCACTTGCGTTCTCATGCCCGGAACCCTCGCGACTGATTGGGAGAAAGAGCGAAAGCGAGAAAGATGGATTGTTATCCATCGGAAATCGATAGGAATTCCACGGGGATTGCCTTCTCTTCTAATATCTATATATGTTTTTATTTCATTATTAACATCCAATCCCATGCTAATAAGAAAAACGAGCGATTGCTAGTCAGCTTTCATTTTCTTAAAAAAAATGGTAGGGACTGAGGCTCTGAAGGCTTTACAACTTTCTTCAATTAGGGAATAGCGCAGATGGATCAATCACGCGGTTCTGCAGCGTCCTCCAACTCGCTGTCCGCGCCCCTTCACTTTCTTTGCTGGACGGGAAGATGTGAATCGTGAAGGCCTTCCCACCACGCGAAGTTCAAACGTCGCCGGAGAGGAATTGAAAACCGGAAAAAAAGCCCTTCGCAATCGAAGGTGAAAGCGGGAAAAAGACGACGAAAGCCTTTTTTCTTTCTTTTTCAGCCGACTTGAAAGGTGCTCTCAGTGTACCGCCATACGCACCCAGACATTAGACCAAGCAGGAACCGGGGATCAAAGTTCCATTGATTCATCTATCTCAAATAGGGAAAAAAACGGAATCAAGAAGGGGTCTGCTGAGCTCGAAAGGGGTAGCCGGTCGTCGGCTAGGAGCTCTGGCCGGCAACGAAACTAAAGCTTCACACTGGTCCACTCGTCCATCGGCTAAGTTCCAACTCTATGTTGATAAGAAAAAAGAAAATCCCCTAAGAAGAGGACTTTCAACTATTCCAAAAAGAAAGGGGCAATTAAAATGCTTCATAGATAACCCCCTATGTCTCTTCCCGTCCAACTCATCGGGAGATCGAAGAGCGGTTTGCGCTTCGCGCCCCAACCCCCTTA